ATTTTAGCCATTCTTGTAAGCCTCTCCGAGCCCCAGGGGAGTGGCGGCATAGAAGTTTGAAAAATAAATAAACAAATAAATAAATATGGGTCCAGAGTCATGACCTTTCTCCCTTGCAGCTCCACTGAGGTGGACGACATGATCCGGAAGTCTACCAACTTGCTGCTGACGCGGACGTTGAGCAACTGTTTGCAGAACGTGATCAAGAGGAAAAACGTTGGCCTGACGGAGGTGAGGAGTCCCCTGGGGGGTGCCTTTGGCCAGCGAGGCTGGGGATGTGACGTCTGTGGCTCTATGCTGGCCGTATAATGCAGTTCAGACTGTATTCTGTGGCAGTGTGGATCCAGCCTAAGCCATTCCTCAGGGGGATTAATAGTTTCCAGGCCTTTGGTCACCCTGCCCTTCTTGTGTTCCAGCTTCACCATGTCCTTCTTGAATTGCTTTGCCCAGAACTGGTTTCAGGTGTTACCTGACCAAAGCAGAACACAGTGGGACCATTACTTCTTTCAGTCTAAACCAGGCATGGGCCAACTTTGGCCCTCCAGGTGTTTTGGACTTCAACTCCCATTATTTATACCCCGCCACCATCTCCCCCATGGGAACTCGGAGCAGCTTACATGAGGCCAAGCCCAAAGAACCATTACAATAAAGAAAAACCGAAAACGCAAACCGAAAATGCAAACAATAAACAACATCATAGTTACATAAAACATATGAATGCATAACAATGCAAAAATTACACTAAGCACAAGTACAGTGACAATGGGTGGGCTACATGTAATGATCCAGAAAATCGGTGTCACTGAGGAATCCCTGGAGCTGCAGAACCACCCGCTCCAGAACCTTGCCCAGGAAAGGGAGGTTGGAAATTGGTCTGTAGTTGTTACATACCGTCAGGTCAAGGGAGGTTTTCTATAGTAGAGGTCTTACCACCGCCTGCTTAAGGCTGGACGGGAATTTTCCTTGACCCAATGAAGCATTTATTATTGCAACAAACCATTCCAACAGCCCTTCTCGGGCCAGTTTAACTATCCAGGACAGGCAATGATCCAGAGCGCAAGTGGTTGCTCTCACCTTCCCAAGGATCCCCTCCACGTCATCAGGTTGAACAAGATGGAAAGAATCCCATAAGATCGAACAGACAGGTGCCTCGGTTACCTTATCTGGCACTGTGTTTAAGCTGGAGTCCAGCTCAAGGCGTATCTGAGCAACTTTGCCTGCAAAATGGTGCGCGAAATCGCTGCACTGAGTCGCCAGGAAGCCCCCCAACCTCAGGAGGCCGGAGGAGCTCCCCAACAACCCGGAACAACTCCGATGGTCTATTTTCTGCAGACTCTTTGTGAGCAGTCGAGAATACTTTCCTGGCTGCTCGCAGAACCACTGTTGCAATCCAGAGCAGGAAATGAGGCCCTAAGATAGCTATCCACCACACTTGACTGTGAAAAAAACAATCCTTTTTTATTGAAGAAAAATGGTTACAAAATAAAGGAAAAATGCAAAGTCAAAAGCCACAGCAAAATCAGCAAACATGAATGTCCAAACCCAAAGCCACACTGTAAAATACTGTCAAAACCCAAAGCCACACTGTAAAATACTGGAACCTGTTAGCAATCCACTAACTGTACTTGGTGTCCTAGAAATCATTGAAGACGATGGCCAGGGAAACCAGGAGAACTGCCAAGGTCTTCATCAATCTAAAACGATGCCTGAACTGAGAAAGTCAGCCCGGCGGAAGGCACTTAAAGCCGAGGAATTGGTTTCGTGAAACGCCTCCCTGCTTTGAAGCCGTTGTTTGTTTTTCTTTTAATCTGGAAGACCTTCGCAAGCTGAGTGATTTACTCCTGTCTTGCCAGATCTGGCCCCTTCTATTCTCATTAAGGTTCCCAGGAGCAGAAGGGAGTGAAAGGTCATGGCTTCCCTCTGAAACATTCTCATGAACACTGGTACTTTCATTTTCCAAATCTACAGAAGTTTCTTCCTCACTAATTTCAGGAGCATTGACATCAAGAAGTACATTTTCATTAGCATCAGGAAGTACATTTTCATTAGCATCAGTAAATATATTTTCATTAGCATCAGGAGGGGCAAACAGAGAATCAGGTTCAATCTCAGGCCGAACCCTAACAGCCACGGAGTAAGCCCTAATAACGGCTTTGGCCCTTGCTTGGTCAGATACGTCTCGGGATTTCCTCCAGATGCCCTCTAGACCCCTTCTCCAGCGCTTCATCTCAGCCAGCTCCTCGGTGAACCAAGGAGTCGGTGCGACTCTGCGCAAGGAAAGGGGACATTTGGGAGCGATCGTGCCAATCGCCCTGTTCATCTTGCTATTATAGCGATCAACAAGGGTGTTGACAGGATCGTCAGTCTCCAGGACAGGAAGATCCCCAAGTGACCTCAGGAGTCCTTCTGGATCCATAAGCCTCCTGGGGCAGACCGTCTTAATGGGTCCACCACCCCTGCGGAGGTTAGAGGGTATGGCTAATCTTAAACAGATCAGATGATGGTCAGACCATGACAATGGAAGAATGATTTGGTCTTCCACTCTGACTGTTCCACCGTCCATAATAAAAACAAGGTCCAACATGTGTCCCGCCTGATGTGTGGGACCAGATATTACTTGAGTCAGCCCCATGGTTGTTATTGGCACTAGGACTAGTGGGAGCAGAAGTCCAAAACACCTGGAGGTCCCAAGTTGGCCCATGCCTGTTCTATACTCTAGACTCCTATGGTTGCCTCTGGTCTTCCCAGACTGGGATAGGGCTGGAAGAGAAGAACAGAAGTGTCTCTTTCCTTCCCTTTTGTATTTTTGTGGGAGCATTTCCCCTTGTTGTTCCCCAGCTGGGAGTCAGTCCGCGGTGTGCAACCGTAGCCCAGGCTTGACTCCCAAGACAACTAGATTGGCTCGTAATGAAGGAACCCTCCAAGCGCCTGCAGCGTTCCACAAAGACCCCCCCCCTAAACCCAAAGTTGAGTGTTTGAGGGAGGAGCTGTCACTCAAATGTCTCCCATCACTTGTTAGGAGTGGAGGGAGGGGGCTCAGGCCTTTTTCATAACCAGCTCACCTTTTAATGGGATTGTGGGTATAATTAGGTGAAAGGAATTAGAAAATTCATTAGAGTGTTTCTTGGTTTCTGCCTCTAGCCGAAATCCAAGGGAAATTCCTTCCCCGCAAAACTCTGTCTGGCTCAAAACATCCCCAGTTATTAAGGCGAGAGCCCCGCGGCCTCCACTTTCTTTCTCCCTTTGTCCAAAGGTATTCCGGCTCGGCAGGAGACCATGTCCGGGTCACAGCTGGTCGCCTTTATCCCCACCATTTGCCTCTTAGTTGGTGTTATTCTATTCTTACATGACCCCCCCCCCCCCAACAAGTCTCAAGGCAGCTTACAAGGAATCTATGGAATCAAATTCCTTCCAAGACAGTATGAAAACCAACAATGCAGCAACACACCATTAAAAGCCATTTCATAACAGTCTGGCAGAATGGGAGAGTTTTGGCTTGCGAGCCGAAGGACAAACCCGCCTTTTGGTGTGTCTTTGTGTTGCTTCTGCAGCTGGTCCAGATCATCATCAACACGACCCACCTGGAGAAGTCCTGCCGCTTCCTGGAGGAATTCATCACCAACATCACCAACGTCCTCCCAGACACCGTCCACACCACAAAGCTGTACGGAACAACCACCTTCAAGGTGAGAAATCATAGAAACTGTTGTGACTCAGCTGGAACCACAGACACAGACTGATGGTGTTGTGACTCAGGTGGGGTCTCAGAGTGACTCTGATGAGGATGATGGGATTCAGGTTCACAATCAGGTTCAAAATGTCCCTGTTGTAGACAACGAGGAACAGGGCGTGCAAGTTCAGTTTCCCACAGCAGGGAATGATGTTTTTGATACTGAAACTAGCCAGGTGCAAATTGACTCAGAAAAGGAGAGTTCTCAGCCTGATAGTAGGCAAGAAGGCAACCAGCCTGACACTAACGAGCAGCCTGACCTTGATGAAACGGGAGTCTTAGATTGGGCTGACCGTTTGGAATTCAGAGTTCGAAGGAGTGTGAGAATAGCCAACAAGAAGGAGGTCAGAGGCCAAAGAAATGCTTTCATGTATTGCAAAGGGTATTAAGCAGTGTGTTTAAGAACAAACCTTTGTCAGAGCAACTTCTCGCTCAACCAAGCAGCTTGTGCTTGTTTTCCTGTGTCCATGGTCTTGGGATTTTGTCATGTTCTCATGGGACTTTGTTTCGTTGGTGCCATTTGGAATTCTGCTTTACCGTGCTATGTTTTATTGAATCTATTCTGAGGTGCAACAGAAATGTAGAATAATAGAGTTGGAAGAGACCACTTGGGCCATCTAATCCAACCACTTACTGTGGAAGAAAAACACAATCAAATCACCCCAGACAGATGGCCATCCAGCCTCTGTTCAAAAGCTTCCAAGGAAGGAACTTCCACTAGACTCCGAGGCAGAGACTTCCACTGATGAGACTTCTTACGGTCAGGAAGTTCTTCCAAATGTTCAGTTGGAATCTCCTTTCTTGTCATTTGAACCTTTGACTCAATTGAGTCCTAGTCTCTAGTCTCCAGGGCAGGAGAAAGGAATGTTAACAATATTAAAAATTAATTAGATGTTTTTAATTACAAAAATGTGAGTCAAGCACTGAAAGGGTTAAATGGATTCAATGACTCAACAAAAGTTGCAGTTCAATGTAAGCATGTGTGTCTGTAGCTTAGTAGGCCTCAGTCTGTGAGAGGTCTCTGTGGGAAAAGGGCCTCAGTGAGTTAGTAGGCCTCAGTATGGAAAGGCCTGAGTGTTAGTTCACCTCAGTGTGAGAGAGCCCTCAGTGTTATTAGGCCTCAGTATGGAAAGGCCTGAGTGTTAGTTCACCTCAGTGTGAGAGAGGTCTGTGAGAGGTCTCTGTGGGAGAAGGGCCTCAGTGAGTTAGTAGGTCTCAGTATGGAAAGGCCTGAGTGTTAGTTCACCTCAGTGTGAGAGAGCCCTCAGTGTTATTAGGCCTCAGTATGGAAAGGCCTGAGTGTTAGTTCACCTCAGTGTGAGAGAGGTCTGTGAGAGGTCTCTGTGGGAGAAGGGCCTCAGTGAGTTAGTAGGTCTCAGTATGGAAAGGCCTGAGTGTTAGTTCACCTCAGTGTGAGAGAGCCCTCAGTGTTATTAGGCCTCAGTATGGAAAGGCCTGAGTGTTAGTTCACCTCAGTGTGAGAGAGGTCTGTGAGAGGTCTCTGTGGGAGAAGGGCCTCAGTGAGTTAGTAGGTCTCAGTATGGAAAGGCCTGAGTGTTAGTTCACCTCAGTGTGAGAGAGCCCTCAGTGTTATTAGGCCTCAGTATGGAAAGGCCTGAGTGTTAGTTCACCTCAGTGTGAGAGAGGTCTGTGAGAGGTCTCTGTGGGAGAAGGGCCTCAGTGAGTTAGTAGGTCTCAGTATGGAAAGGCCTGAGTGTTACTTCACCTCAGTGTGAGAGAGCCCTCAGTGTTATTAGGCCTCAGTATGGAAAGGCCTCAGTGTTAGTTTGCCTCAGTGTGAGAAGGGCCTCAATCTGAGAGAGCCTGTGTTAGTAGGCCTCAATGTGAGTAGGCCTGGTGTGAGAAGCTCCAGGTTGAAGGCAATCGTGTGTGAAGGCTGCTTTGTGTAAAGCTATATGTGAAGCTCCTGTGTAAGTTTGGTGCAAGAGGAGGCTCTGAGAGTGAAGCTGTTTATCTGCATGAGAAAGAAGCCCAGCATGGAAGCAAAGAAGGAAGTATAAAGAACTTTATTTGTGTTATGGAAACCTTGTTCTTGTAAATAGTGCAACCATATTATTTTGCTATAAAGAAAAGCCTCCTATGAAAGAGATAGCATTGGTCGGTGTGTTTTTGTTTTTTTTATCACTTTGGGCTACTAGTGCTGGGTCATGCTGTTGCTGATAATTTGCTCTGCTGTGCATTTATGCGAAGGGTCTTTTGTTATTAAGCCCACTTGCACAACAAGGAAGTAATTTCCCTCTTCTTTATGACACCCTTTCATATATTTATACGGTGTTCCCTCGCTGTTTTGCAGTTCGCTTTCCGCGGACTCGCTGTTTTGCGGTTAGAGTATAGAATCATGGCCGGAATCACTGGGTTGTTGTAGGTTTTTTTGGGCTATATGGCCATGGGTGCAGGCAAAATGTCAGGAGAGAATGCCTCTAGAACATGGCCATATAGCCCGAAAAAACCTACAACAACCCAATATTTTTATTTTTTTATACATTTTGTGGTTTTAAAATGAGAAATGCCTTTCCCAACTTAGCGGGCAAGGGCTGTTGCAGTGGTGGGCACCCTCCCGCCGTCCATGCTGCTTGCAGGGGGTTTCTTCTTCCCGAAGCCCCCTGCACGGCGGGAAGTTTCCCACTGCTTGGCCAGCTGGCCAACCAGGACAGGCCCCACCCCACCCCTGGATTGGCCAGGGCCAGCTTCCCCACCTCACCCTGGCAGCCTTTGTAGGGCTGCTGGGGTCACTGAGCCCCGCGGAGGCCACGAAGGCTTCTGGTGTGAGGGAGGCAAGTCTGCCTTGGCCAATCCAGGAGCAGGGTCTGCCGCTGGTTGGCCAGCTGGCCAAGTAACAGAAAACTTCCCACAGTGCAGGAGGCTTCTGGGAAGAAGAAACCCCCTGCAAGCAGCATGGACAGCGGGAGGGCACCCACTGCTGCAAAAGCCCTTGCCCGCTAAGTTGGGCAAGGCATTTCTCATTTTAAAACCACAAAATGTATAAAAATATTATGTGTATGTGTATGTATGTATGTACGTATGTATGAACCCTGAGGAACCCCTTTGACTTGTGGGGTTCCTCAGGGTTCAATACTGTCTCCCATGTTGTTTAACATCTACATGAAGCCGCTGGGCGAGATCATCCGGAGTTTCGGAGTGCGATGTCATCTGTACGCAGATGATGTCCAACTCTGTCACTCCTTTCCACCTGCTACTAAGGAGGCTGTCGAGGTCCTGCACCGGTGCTTGGCCGCTGTGACGGTCTGGATGGGGGCGAACAAATTGAAATTGAATCCAGACAAGACAGAGGTACTCCTGGTCAGTCGCAAGGCCGAACAGGGTATAGGGTTACAGCCTGTGTTAGACGGGGTCGCACTCCCCCTGAAGACGCAGGTTCGCAGTTTGGGTGTGATCCTGGACTCATCGCTGAGCCTGGAACCCCAGGTTTCGGCGGTGACCAGGGGAGCATTCGCACAGTTAAAACTTGTGCGCCAACTGCGACCGTACCTTGGGAAGTCTGACTTGGCCACGGTAGTCCACGCTCTGGTTACATCCCGTCTTGACTACTGCAACGCTCTCTACGTGGGGTTGCCTTTGAAGACGGCTCGGAAGCTCCAATTAGTCCAACGGGCGGCAGCCATGATACTAACAGGAGCGGGGCGCAGGGAGCATACAACTCCTCTGCTGTACCAGCTCCACTGGCTGCCGATTTGCTACCGGGCCCAATTCAAAGTGCTGGCGCTGGCCTTTAAAGCCCTAAACGGTTCTGGCCCAACTTATCTATCCGAACGTATCTCGGCCTATCAGCCCACCAGGACCCTAAGATCTTCTGGGGAGGCCCTGCTCTCTATCCCGCCTGCTTCACAGGTGCGGCTGGCGGGAACGAGAGACAGGGCCTTTTCTGTGGTGGCCCCTCGGCTTTGGAATGCCCTCCCCATAGAGGTGAGATCAACCCCTTCGCTGATGGTATTTCGAAAAAGGTTGAAGACATGGATGTTTAAACAAGCATTCGATTAATCTGGTGCAACGAAACTGATGAACAAGGATTGGTAATCACAGACGACGAAATTGGATTGCGACTACAATTAAGAGATGCATTGGATTATTATTGGTGGCCCAATAATATTGTGTATTGTGTATGTGTTTTTATGCTTTTTAATGGAATATTGCTGCTTGTCGTTGTGTTGTAAACCGCGTTGAGTCGCCGATTTAGGCTGAGAAACGGCGGTATATAAGCACAGTAATAAATAAATAATAAATAAATAAATAATAATGTACGTATGTATGTACGTATGTATGTATGTATGTATGTATGTCTCCTCTTCCTTTTCTTCTGCAGACTAAACAGACCCAGCTCTTTAAGACACTGGAGGAGGGTTGGACTGGATGGCCCATGAGGTCTCTTCCAACTCTATTATTCTATGAGGAGGGAGGCTGTCAGGAAGACAGATTTAGGGAGGCCAGAGCAGAAGGGGGCCATGCACCTGAGGAAGAAAATGTGATGGCCACCTGTGCCTGTCAGGAGGGGGTTGGACTGGATGGCTCTTACGGTCTCATCCAACTCTGGGATTCTTTGAATCGCCCTAAGACAAAGCCTAAAGCGGTGTAGAAATCCTCCATGTTCTCTCTTGCTTTGCCTTTCACTGAGATGGACATCCAAGGCGTGTCTCACAGTGAAAGTGGACGTGTCTCTGGTGTCCACTTGTGCAGCTTTGAAGAGGTTGCCCTGGATCAGGCATGGACAAACTTCAGCCCTCCAGGGTTTTGCACTTCAACTCCCACAATTCCTAATAACCGGTGGGTCATTAGGAATTGTGGAAGTTCAAAACGCCTGGAGGGAGGCCTGAAGTTGGCCCATGCTTGCCCTGGATGGAAGGCATGGGAGGCAGCCTCGGTCCCTGTGTCCCATTTGACCCTCCTCGAGACCCTGGTGGTGACGGTCCCACCCTCCTTTCCCCAGGATGCGCGACATGCGGCCGAGGAAGAGATCTACACAAACCTGAACCAGAAGATAGACCAGTTCCTGCAGCTTGCAGATTACGACTGGATGGCCGCCGAGGCCAGTCCGAAGGCCAGCGACTACCTGGTGGACCTCATTGCCTTCCTGCGCAGCACCTTTGCCGTTTTTACACACCTGCCGGTAATTATTGCAATTATATTGATTTTTATCGCGCTTTGAGGAAACTCAAAGCGGTCAGTATGCCTAGGGGTGTCCTTCAGCCAGCCATGAACTAACTGTGGCTTTCCTCTCATGCAAATGCATGTCCTCACTCTTTCATGCTCAGGAGAGAGAACTTGTTAGCAGGCTATGGCTAAGGAAAAAGGGATACCCAAGTCCATACTTAAAGGTAGTTTCCCCAAATGTCAAAGTCTGAGCTGGCAGTTAAGAAGACTCTTCTCTTGCTGGACAGTGGCATGGGCTGCCACGGGTAGTGGAGGACTCACTTTGGCTGGACGTTTTCCAGTTTTTCAGCTGCCTTGTATTTGTATGCAGGAGAAAGGTGGGACAGGAAGTAGGTAAGTAAGTAAATAATAGGACCTCTATGGTTAAATTCTGCAAGGTAGCAAAAAGGTGGTATGAAAGGCAGCAGCCCCCAAAACCCTGAACAAGGTGAGCTTACAGAAGAACAGGCCAGAGATGACCCTCTATGCGCTTGGTGGGAGAGAAGCCAGGGGAGACCACTGTGGAAGCGCAGGCTTTCTCTCTCTCTAGTTCAGGCAACAATTTCCTTTCTTGGTCAAGTTCAAACCCTCTGCTGCAACCCAGATCAGGAAACGAGTCCATAAGATTAATCCACCACACTTGACTGTGGGGAAAAACAATCCTTTTTTATTGATGAAAAATGGTTACAAAATAGAGGAAAATACAAAGTCAAAAAGCCACAGTAAAACTCAGAAGTCAGGAATATCTCAGAACTAGATCAAAATTCCAAAAGCAATTCTGTAAAAACCTGGAACCTGTTAGCATTTCACTAACCGTACTTGGAACACTAGAAGCCTCTAGAATGCCGGCCATGGGAAACGGGAAATCTGCCAAGGTATTGCCTCAGTCTAAACGATGCTTGATCTAACGAGATGGCCCGGGGAGAGACACTTAAAACTAAAGAAACTGTTTCGGGACACGCCTCCAGGCTTTGAAGCCTGTGCCTCCCTTTCCTTTAATCTGCTTGACCTTCGCAGACTCTGCGATTCACTCCTGTTTTTCCAAATCTGCCCTTTTCTATCCTCATTAAAAAAGGCAGGTGCTAGCTCCTCTGGAGAGCTATCACCGCCTGAATCTGAAACATTCTCATCAGGATGTGCAGTTTCACTTTCCAAGCCACTGACCTCAGAATCAACAGTTTCCAAACCATCAGGGAAAAATACATGTCCAGTAGCCTGTTCAGTTGCATCAGGAAATACAATCAGAGAATCAGGTTCAGGTTCACACGCAGGCTGAACCCCAACACCCTCTGGTCAGAATTTGGGGGGCTGAAGTGGTTTCATTGGAGAAGCAAGGCCCCCCTCCATGGCCGCACCCTGGAGTCACCCCTCCCTCCAGCGCATGGGGTGGTCACACAGAACCTCCATTGTGGCTTAGAAGAACGGTTTTTGCTTGGGCCAGGAGCAGGGAAGGAATGAGTTATTGTAGGTTTTTCCAGGCTATATGGCCATGTTCTAGAGGCATTCTCTCCTGACGTTTCACCTGCATCTATGGCAAGTGTTGGGGTTCAGCCTGAGTTTGAACTTGAACCTGATTCTCTGTTTGTTCCTCCTGATGCTAATGAAAATATATTTACTGATGCTAATGAAAATGTACCTCTTGATGCCAATGCTCCTGAAATTAGTGAGGAAGAAACTTCTGTAGATTTGGAAAATGAAAGTACCAGTGTTCATGAGAATGTTTCAGAGGGAAGCCATGACCTTTCACTCCCTTCTGCACCTGGTAACTTTAATGAGAACAGAAGGGGCCAGATCTGGCAAGACAGAAGTAAATCACTCCGCTTGCGAAGGTCTTCCCGATTAAAAGAAATACAAACAACGGCTTCAAAGCAGAGGGGTGTATCACGGAACCAATTCTTCGGCTTTAAGTGCCTTCCACCGGGCTGACTTTCTCAGTTCAGGCATCGTTTCAGATTGATGAAGACCTTGGCAGTTCTCCCGGTTTCCCTGGCCATCGTCTTGAAAGATTTCTAGGATATCAAGTACGGTTAGTGGATTGCTAACAGGTTCCAGTATTTTACAGTGTGGCTTTGGGTTTTTTTGTCCATTTAAATTCATGTTTGCTGATTTTGCTGTGGCTTTTGACTTGCATTTTTCCTTTATTTTGTAACCATTTTTCTTCAATAAAAAAGGATGTGTTTTTTCACAGTCAAGTGTGGTGGATAGCTATCTTAGGGCCTCGTTTCCTGCTCTGGATTGCAACAGCAAGCATCCTCAGAGGTTGTGACTCAGAGGGAAGGGATGCTCCAGAAAGGAAAGGGTGGCCTTGGAGCAGCCCAGCTCTGACCCCGGCTGGGCTTCTCCCCACAGAGAGCTGGTCCTTGGCTGCTGATGTGAAGCCTCCTCCTCCTCCTTCTCCTATCTTATCACCCCCAGCATCACCCCTGGGTTCAAGGAATCTCCAAGTCAAGATCTGCTGTTCCTCAGCCTTTGGGGGATGGAAAACCCGTTGGAGGAGATGCCTCTCCCCGTGCAATGGAGAGAAAGGGGAGGAAGGAAGGAGGGAGGGCCCCCCTTTGTTCTGGGGGGCTGATGGTTGTTTTAATGTCATGTCAGACAAGGGAGCGCGAATGGCCCTGACAGATCTGCGCCGGGCGCAGGGATTTGTTGACTTTAAGCCTCGTGGAGCTGGAAGGTTATGTCAACACCTCCTCCGGTGGGGCTGTCAGCTTAACAAAGCAAGGAAGTTTTTTATTTGTTGGGGGAAAGGGGTGTTTTTCTGTTTTGATTTCCAGTTTCCTTTAATCCTGGGAGGCTTGTATCTTGATAACCTTCCTTGCAAGGTAATCCGGGAGGTCAGGGGGTCACCTCGACCTGGGAAGGGGAAGTAATCTTTCAGCTCTCTCGCTCGCTCATAATCGACTCCAGCAGTTGGGCCTGAACTCTCTCAGCGGAGCAAGGCACTCCTCCTCCTTCACTTTTTTCTTCTCTTTCAATGGCCCCCTTTCCTCCTCCACTGTTTACTTTCAACCAGATGGTTTGCACAGATTGTGGCGGGGAAGGCCAAGATCCATAAGGAAGGCTTTGACCTGGTCCCAGACCCTTTGCACCAAGCCCATGACCTTCACTTGCCACTCCTTACACTCATAGAATCATAGAATCGAGTTGGAAGAGACCTCATGGGCCATCCAGTCCAACCCCGTTCTGCCAAGAAGCAGGAATATTGCATTCAAATCACCCCTGACAGATGGCCATCCAGCCTCTGTTTAAAAGCTTCCAAAGAAGGAGCCTCCACCACACTCCGGGGCAGAGAGTTCCACTGCTGAACGGCTCTCACAGTCAGGAAGTTCTTCCTCATGTTCAGATGGAATCTCCTCTCTTGTAGTTTGAAGCCATTGTTCCATTGCGTCCTAGTCTCCATGGAAGCAGAAAACAAGCTTGCTCCCTCCTCCTCCCTGTGGCTTCCTCTCACATATTTATACATGGCTATCATATCTCCTCTCAGCCTTCTCTTCTTCAGGCTAAACATGCCCAGCTCCTTAAGCCGCTCCTCATAGGGCTTGTTCTCCAGACCTTTTATCATTTTCGTCGCCCTCATCCTCTGGACACATTCCAGCTTGTCAATATCTCTCTTGAATTGTGGTGCCCAGAATTGGACACAATATTCCAGGTGTGGTCTAACCAAAGCAGAATAGAGCATGGGGAGCAGGACTTCCCTAGATACCTGAGCAGCTTTGGAGAGCAGGCCATCACCATCCTAGGCTATCATTTGCAGCCAAATCTTGAGGTAGGGTCTTGGCACTTGTCCTTAGTTGACTGTGGAGACCTATTTTTGATCTTTGTGTTCTTTTGCAGTCCGTATGTTCTTTCCTCCATCCAAAGCAAGGAATGGTGGCATCCCCAGCCACACCAGGCTCTCTGGAGAATGGCTGAGGGAGTGGAGCATGCTTAGTTGGGAGAGGATGGGGGGATGGCCATCTTTAAGCAGCTATTTATTTATTTATCATTTATTTATCATTTATTTATCATGTCAGGAGCAAACCAGACAGTTGTATTGCATTTTTAACAAACAAAAAACAAACAAAACACAAAGTTTGCAAGCTTGGTAGTTGATTAAATGTCCTTTGACCAGTATCTGGCCACTTGGAGTGCCTCTGGTGTTGCTGCAAGAAGGTCCTCCATTGTGCATGTGGCAGGGCTCAGGTTGCATTGCAGCAGGTGGTCAGTGGTTTGCTCTTTCCACACTCGCATGTCGTGGATTCCACTTTGTGGCCCCATTTCTGAAGGTTGGCTCTGCATCTCGTGGTGCCAGAGCGCAGTCTGTTCAGCACTTCCAAGTTGCCCAGTCTTCCATGTGCCCAGGGGGGAGTCTCTCATTTGGTATCAGCCATTGGTTGAGGTTCTGGGTTTGAGCCTGCCACTTTTGGACTCTCGCTTGCTGAGGTGTTCCAGCGAGTGTCTCTGTAGATCTTAGAAAACTATGTCTGGATTTAAGTTGTTGACGTGCTGGCTGATACCCAAACAGGGGATGAGCTGGAGATGTCTCTGCCTTGGTCCTTTCACTATTGGCTGCCACTTCCCGGCGGATGTCAGGTGGTGCAATACCGGCTAAGCAGTGTCATTTCTCCAGTGCTGTAGGGCGCAGACACCCCGTGATAATGCGGCATGTCTCATTAAGAGCCACATCTACTGTTTTCTGTGTGCCCAGGGGGGAGTCTGGGTTTGAGCCTGCTACTTTTGTACTCTCGCTTGCTGAGGTGTTATAGCAGCTGAAGGACCATCATCATTTAGGGCAGGCACGGCAAACTTTGGCTCTCTTCCAGCTGTTAGGAATTGTGGGAGTTTGTCCAAAACATCTGGAGGAGTGCCAAAGTTTGCCCATATCTGACTTAGAAGAAGGGACAGGATTGTTCACTGATGTTCTGGAGGCTAAGGCAGGAACCCCAGCAAAACACATGAGAAGAGAGTCCACGTAAACATTCAAAGGAATTTTCTGAC